CACATTTAATGCATCAAATACGCACTTGATATGTGTATGCCAAATATGGCGACTACTACAGTGAGTGACTGCAAGTAGCATTATTCTTTCGAGTACAGTCATAAAAAATTATTTACGTTGCTAATTTTCCTTTAATATTTTAATAATATAATGCAATAGGGTAATATTCACGCACATGATCAGTATACTCGACAACACCGTTGCTAGTAGAATGTCATCGACAATGGCCACCACCACGACAATCTATAGCTGATGTTGTTAACTGCCTCTAGTCGATATTATTCTTCAAGATTTAGAGTCGCTAATTATCAAGAAACTGTCGACAACGTCGATCAATAGTTGCAATTACGAAATTTTGTAAGAACATCATTTATTAAAAGAAAACAAAATATGTAGCAATAATAGTATTTTTATGGCATATTAACAACATAAATAATTATTTTTAATATTACGTTCATTGTATACAACAAAAGATAATACAATTCAGTGTATTCGATGGATTGTTTAAAATACGGTCAATTTTATCATTCAATCATCTGTTGTCACATACACTTCTGTTATTGTATATATTAAAATTCTTTTGACAAAAGTGACATAATCCGTGACAAAATTATAGTTGGATTTTATTTGATTAAAGCTGAAAATAAGTAGAGAAAGGACGTAACACAAGAAGAGAGCCTCATTTTCCCTCTCTACTGTGTAAACTAAAGGAGGAACAGAAGTGGGACCCATCCGACCGTTATGGGTCCACCCATAAAAGTGGTCCCGACCTTTATTTACCCATAATACTTGTTGCCGGCTGCACTCAATGACCCCACCGTCCTAAAATTGCATATACATTTTTTTTGTTGCTATTGCCACTCTCGCCTCTTAGACCCCACTTTTTGGAGTTCTTAGCCTTTTGTATATTAGCACATAGTTATTCCCAATGAAGATTACATAATGCGATTAAGAATTTTATTTTTTTCAGCGTCTTTCGATAAATTGTGACCAAAAGAACTTTAAGAGAAAACTAATCTAAGATGATTTTTTTTTTCAATAAACTATTTTTAAAAAAAAAATAGAAGCAAAATAAATTTGGGACCCGTAGGAACGAGCCTTTCCATTTAAGGTGGGTGACTATGTCTCCATAGCTTTAGATTCGCAAGTCGAGAAAGTTATTTTATTTATATATTGAGACAATTTTGATTAAAAACTAAATATGTTTTAACGTTAGTCTTATTTTTATACATTATAATGCTCTAACAATGAAAGTAACTGGGAAAGCGATCACAATTGAACAAATTATTGACGTATAATATAAACACAACTTTAGAGTATGATTTTTATTTATTTTTTAAAAATTCTATTGACTCTTAATCTAGTAACTCACTACCTATTCTTTATTTATCTGGTTGTTGTGCCCCTTCAATTTTTTTTTTTCTTTTTTTCTTTTCCTTCTTTCATATCGTATAACAAAGAATCAAATTATTAATAATAAAAGGATATAAAATATGAATTACGAAAAATTCTAGAAATCCCATCAAATTGATATGGAGTTTCAGTGTATGGTCTGAGTGAATGTTTATTCTAAACTGATGTTAGGGATGACAAAAAATCCAACAAACTCGATACCCAATGGACACCGCCCTGAACGATTACCCGCTTAATCGGAGTATTCAGGTCGGGGACAGGCGAGAAATTTTGCCCCCGGACGGGGACGGGGACGAGTGCCCCGCCATGTTTAATTTTTTTATAATTTAATACTTTAAATGGAAAATTTCACTAAATTTTATTAGTTTTAATATAAAATAACAACTAAATTTATTTGTCTTAATATAATGAATGAGAGACAATAAAATAAATTATCAAAAACTTTAAAAAAATAAAAATTAAACAGGATAGTAAACCCCGCCCCGTCCCGCCTTGCCCCGCCTTGCCTTGAAGGGGTAATGAGGCGGAAAATTGCTTGACGGGGCAGGGGCCGAGGGAGGTTGCTCCCATCCCGTCCCATCCCGTTGTCATCCCTAATTGATGTTTTGGTGCATGATTGGAAAGAGAGTTGTGATTTGCTTTCTAATTTTTGATATCTTATTTCTTGTTCATCGAGTAATTGTTGACACATTATTTTACATTAAAATGTCATCTATTTTTAAGTAGCCGTTAGAAAAAAAGTTGGACATATTAATTTAAAATGACACGTGATTAACTAATTGGGTAGACATTGGAATTGGAGATGCCATTAGTAGGGGTGTCCAAAAGTCCCGAATCGAACCCGAACCGAATCGAGCGGTTCTTCATAAATTAAATACCCAAACGGGTACCCGAATCGAGAACCGATGGATTTAGGTCGGGT